GTGGAACTCTTAATATTGATTCACTGATTCCTTCCCATATACATGAAAGTCTTTGAGGCACCCGGTTTTGAAGCTGATGCAGCGCCTCCATCTCGCAAAAACACACTTGGCTTTTATCACTGTTGTGAATTAGGAGTGAGAAAGCTTCCCAACGCGCTTCTCCCTCAGGCTTCTTCTTGAGATGGTCTTCAGTTGACAGGTTAGCCTTCATATTTTATACTACATATTCACCTTCATACTGTGAGTTACTCTCGATAGCTAAACAATACAAAAATCCTGCATTGGAGCTTTCTAAAATAATCTTAAGCTACATATGACCCGAGAAAGGGGCCAGATGTTCCTACTTATGAATGTGATGTTGGACAACAGCTACCAAACTTCTTTCACTATTATTCATCCCACAAAATGTTACAAAGCTTAAGCATCGACACAAAAATAAAAACGCTTCCAAAGGAAATCAGACAAAGACCAATTGCAATTAATGTAACTGACAGTCTCTCAATGGGTTTGTTGTAAAATCCTTTTTCTCCCTTTCACATCTTAAATCCACAGTCCACCAGGTGGACGACTGTGGATTTAATAATGTTCATTTTCATAATCTGTTGAGTAGTTTGGGGTTGTATTTCTTTAATCCAACAGTAGAAAGATCAGGGATACGACCTTTAAAGCAATCAACGCTAATGTCCTGCCCCCTTATTTGTGGTTCTTTTGCTTGTTTTCATCCGTGTGTTGTTCTAGATATAAATGGAGCAAATGTACATTAGAAAAAAGCACACACATCCTCTGTTACTATGTTAGAACTGAGACAACCGTTTACATTTTCTGTCCCACTTATTGTGTTATGTAAGTGTCAGTTTGGGGACTAATGTACTGTCTGTGTGGCAAATGTAGTTTAACGGGTTTTTGTTCTGTATTGTGGGAGCTGCAGAGATTATTTTCTGGTTATTAATGTTTTTTAAATTTGACATCATAACGCACGGTTTAGGATTAAAACAGCCGGCCTGATAAATCAGCCACTATGGTAGAAATGTAACCGTATTGTAATAAAAATCAATCCCTAAGTTTTAAAACTAATTTCTAATAACCTTTTAAAACCTTTAGCAAATGAATCACTTGACATGATATCCCACAAAGTGAATACTTAAATCACATCACTCTAGAACATTATATTATAGAGATTATTCACATAGGCCAAAAAAATTGAAAGCAGACCTTTTAACGTGATGAAAAAAAATGGAGTCAATATGTGTTGTGTAATAAATTGGATCGGAGACCTCCATAAATTAGAGGAACACAAAACTCAAGGCACTGCTTCCGTTGCAGAAAAAATGAGAGATGACACTACAGCCGTCACAGCTAAATCAAAAGGATGAAAGTAAATCAAAAGGATGAAAGTAAATGACCAAAATGTGGTGCTGCTGAACGAACTATTCAGTAATATCTATAGATTGGTATATAACACAAAACGTTATTATCCACACTAGTTTCACCATTACACTCACACCACAGTCATGTAAAGGGGGAGATTTAGAAGTCGGGGTCATTATCTGTGGTGCAAAGATCCGTTTTCATAACAAACTCAGAAAGAATAGATCTCTGAACCAAAGTAAATAATTCAGTTGGAGAAGGTAGCTTTCAGACTGCAAAAATAATGACACATAATATGCTAAAATGTGGGCGACGGTGGAATAATTCTTATTCAAGTAAAAAAGAATTCAGTAGAAAGGTCAGGAAGGGAGAGAACGGATTTGAGCTGATATTTGTCATCTTTCTTTTCTGTCAGTGCTATTTGACAGGATTTAAATTACATGTTATCTTTGCAGTGAGATGAAACCACAAATGGAATTTGAAGGAAAGTAATAAAGTTGAGATGAAAAAAAATGAGAGCTGCATTTGTAAAGACCTGATTTTAACGTGTTTGTGGGTTTGGAGGGCAGAACTCGTTCTGCTTCATTGAAGTAGACTGTTGAAATGTCTATAATCAAACGCCATGTAACGCTGGAAGATTTTGGGTGCACTGGGAAGCCCCCACAGGAGCTTCTACTTGTCACAGTATGCGTGAAACCGAGTGCGCTCACCTCCAGCCTCATGCCCCTTGACGACGACCTGCGGCAGTGGCTTGATCACTTCTGTCGGCTGTCACACAAACCAGGACGTCATCAGCATGAATCTGAAAACGCACTGAAAATAAATAAATAAAATCTTTGGGAGATGTTTTTCGAGGGAATATAAATAGGCATCAGATGGGGGGTGATTGATTTTGATGAGCGAATGGGAGGCTTTTCGGAGATAAAAACCTTTTAGAGCAATTCAATTAGCTTCAGGCCCAAAGGAAATGTAGGATGTTGTAACATTTGATTACATCAAGGTTGATGAAAGGATGGGAAGACTTGGTTGTAAACGGGCACATTGACGCAAACATTATTTAGCTTGTGGTCATCTAAACGATACAGTCCAACTCAAGTCGATGCAAGACACTTATTTCTTGCTATTAACTTGACTAAGTGCTTAAATTGTTGCAGAAAATGTGTATATAAAAAAACAATCTGCAGCGATCCACGACTGTGCAGAGATTTGTTTTGTCAGAGCTGCGCTGCTCATTAGTCACAGTTGAATGTTTTTCTGTTGTCTCAGATAATCTAAAAATTGTTGACATTTAGTGTTCCAGCCCGTACACTTTATCCTGTGGAAGTACTGATTCCTGACAGGCTCGATATGCTCGGGGAAACTGAAGATGGGAGGATGAGTGACTACTGGAGGAGGTGGATGTAATCTATATAAACACGAGGCAATTAGTGTAGCGCTCTTATTTCTTTAGGGAGGCGGGTGTAAAATCGGGGGGGCAATCAAAGTGATGTCTGTTCCACACAAGTCATTAATGAGGCTCCGGAGTGACTACAGGGGTATATTGTTAAAAGGCTTTTAAGAAGCCTGCATGAAGTTAATTAAAACACAACACACCTTCACAATGTTTCAGATCATTTAAAACAAGAGTTAGCGGACAGGGAAGATAAACAGGAGTCTCACTCCCACGTGAATCCTGTCATCAATTTCTGCTACAAACTGAGAGAGGACGCACATTTCTGGACTGTTAAAGGGGCCACATAAAAAAATCTGTAAAATTCTCAAACGATCAGGGTCTGCATAGAGGACAGGAGTTCAACGTGCAGGAGGCCAGCTCTTCATATTGGTCCACAGTCCTCTTGAAACGTGCACATTGGTGGAAACAATGATGCAAACGTTTGAAAGAGGCAACGAAACAAAGCCACAGTGTAAACTGTTACAGCTGCGTATCATGGCTCCGGGGAAGGTGGATGTGTTTGGACTTGATGTATCGCACACACACACGCACACACCCGCGATAATTGGCCGCATCTGTCAACAAACTATAAAGTGGTCTTCAGTCGGCAACCAGAGAGTAAAACAGATGGGAGGCGTAAGATGTGCTGTCCTCTAAGGGAGCAGAGTATTGGACCAAATGAAATGTCACAAACAAGAATAACTTGTTTCAGTCCTTGTTGAGAAAAACACACTCAGTGGACAAACAGTCATGTGAGGCGTGTGGTGTATCTACACTAATCATGTGGTGATTTGTATTGATAGAATTCATGGATATATTCAAATAACTTATCATAGAATTCATGATGATCTAATTGGGAAACTCGAAGGCTGGAACATTTGACAGAGAACAGCAGAATACTACGATTAGAAATAAACTGACAGCTTATGAAAGTTAATTAGGCATTTGGCACTAAACACAAGATATTATTTTTCAAAACCATTAATTCTTACTTTATACATGTGTGGGGTTCAGAGCCTTTCTTTCAACATCAGTTAAAAAATAATTAGAGTAAAAGAATGTGCCGAAATGTGCTGTCATAATAATCATCAACTGACAAACACATTGCACACAACACTTTTATAGCCTTCTATTTTTTTGCGAACAGACTTTAACTGACTATTTGAGAATACACTGATAGGATTAAATTTAGTTTGGAAGTATATGTCAGTGTCCCAATGTATTATTATTATTATTATTATTTCTTTACTTTGTTGATATGTTGGCTAGAAGTTGTTGTTGATCCAAAGAGTGACAGTTTGCTTCAAACGTGATAGTGTAGCGTTATAGAGAACCAAAATCCCCAATATATTTTTTCCGTCATGCGTTTTACAATCACCACCGTATGCGTGTCCCTACAGCTACAGGAATGCACCATCTGGCCCTGGAGAGCACGTCCTCCTGAAAGCGTGTTCCAGAGGTCAAACGCTCTGCAGAACAGATTTGAAAACAATGAATTGAGAATATTCTCGTCGTCGTGTTGACCTTGCTCGGCTAAGCTGTGCACATAACAAGAGCCATTAGCACAGGCCAGCTGCCACCAAAACAACGGAAGAAATATTCTCGTAATTATTATGTTGGGCTGGAATTTAATTGGAGTCCAACACATTCAAGGTAACTGAAGTAGAAAGAAAGAAAGAAAGAAAGAAAGAAAGAAAGAAAGGATCACCTCAAGTTGAGGTACTCAAAAAGTAGCTTCAATGAAAACCTGATGACAAAAAATCTGTTTGGCATTGAGTTTGTTGCAGAATGTACTTGCTGATGAAAATTAGTAGAACATGTAGATAGAAACTGTGTGTTTGAGCTATTTAAAAGGAAATAAAGTCAGGACATCTCAACCTGCCACTGCACTTTTCTTGTTATAATTTTTATTATTATAATAGTCTCTTTAATTTGCGATCGTGATACTTTATTAATAACTGTAGCATAAAAACCATGAACGTGAGCATTATTATTCAAAACCTATTTCGTATTCACTCCGTGTCTGAACTCAGCACATCTGTGATCCTTTACTGATGTTTTAAAAATCTCCTGAGAAGCCAGATTGGAGATGACAGTTTAGCTCGAGCTCCATTCATAGAACATGAACAAATGTCAGCAGGTTTCTTACATTCCGATGGAGCCTGTTTTGTTTAGTGAGAACTTTAATCATGCAACAGGGTTTATCAGGTTTTCTTTAATCAATTCTTTAATAATAAAAGACACAAAGGACATGTTGGTAAAAATAACAACATTCACAATATATCATATGTTGAAAGGCAAATGACAGAATAATACATATAATAATAATGACTGTTTGTTTTTTTTCATTGGCAAAATGTACATTTCAATAACCTGCAATACTCCATGCAGCATTTGGATGTAATTTTACCACCAATTAAAAGGAGTGTGTTTGCAAAATCAACCTTCAAAATAACAACCTCACCGTTATATTACATTCAATGTAACTCAGCACACATACAAAGTTACATATTTCACAAGGACACTTGACCTGAAAATAAAAAAGGATGAAAAATAATTGTAAGACGTGCACACGGGGAAAAATAAAATACATTGTTTTCCATTGTAAGAAAGCACTTGAGGCATTTTAGGAAAATGGCAAGTACAACACTCAGGAGGAGAACAAATTAACTCTCAACCATAGAACAGATAGCAATTATCTCGACTGATTACAGCAGGAAAAAGCCAAAAATGATGAGAGCATTTTAAACGGCTAGGAACAATGAAATATGAAAATTCACACCTTTGTTCCGCTGACCTTCAGACTGAGAAGTTTTAATTAGGTTTAGAAAACCTCCCATTTAAAGGAAAGGAACTTCAATTTGATTTTTCACCTTTGCATTATACAAGCGAACAATTGGAGCTCATTACACTTCCACTTACTGTATGCTGCAGAGCAGCTGAAGACAAGCAGTGCTTTTTATTTTTTTATATCATTTGCGTATATACAGCAAGGTACGGGGTTGAGAGGACCAGCTTTACTACTCATAACACAAAAGCCAAACGGGATCAGTTCAAGTTGGGGATACAAAACAAAGGGGAAAGTCGAAATGAACCCAAATTTAGGGTGAAGAAATTTTGGGAAATAAATTTGGGTTTGATGGACAGTTAGATAGACAGCGACTGGAAGTGGGGTGAGAGCTAATCTGGCTCACAAATTTGTTAGTCTGACTTACCAGAACAAAGTAAAGTAAAAGTGCAGTTGGCCTATTTCATGGTAAGAACCAGAGGGGAAAAAAAATCAGAATGCGGAAACATTCATGTGTAACAATTGTAAGAACAAAGCCTTTGTTAACAGTAGGTAAAAACACAGATCTAAGAGGTGCACAATGAGTTACAGAAGCTAGCTCTTAATGGCTCCGCAGCTCGGAGCCAGAGACATTCCAGCACATAACCACCTGTAAAAATGTTTAAACACATTAAACAAACAAGATATATCAAGTTGAATAGAGCGCTTTAGAGGTTCCGTGGGATTTTGCTACTATTTCGACAGAACCAGGCTATCCGTTGCCCCCCGTTTCCAGTCTTTGTGCTAAGCTAACCTAGCAAGCGGATGTAGATTCATATTTACTTATAAGATTTGGTATCATTAAACTTCTCACCCAACTCCCGTCAAGATTATTATAACCAAATGTAGGCTATTAATTTTCATCTCCAAAATATGAAGCTGTTCCAGTTTAAAGTTAGAACAAACCGTCTTGACCTTTTAAGGAATCCCTTAAAAGAATATTTGGCCTCCCATTCTGCTCACACTTATTCATAGAAATTGTGTCTCAAATCCCCTTCCAGTGAAGCACAGATGATTCATGGGAGCCGGTATAAGGGCGTATTCTCCATTATATACTGCATAATACATCTGTGGGTATTCTTCCATTGTGTTCTGCCTGAGAACATTGGAGTGTTTTTTGGATGAAAAAATAACTGAGTGCAAAGCCTGAAGAAGGAGAACAAGAAGGAAACGTTGGCAACAGACGACCTAAAGCAAACTAAAAAGATGCTGCTGATAAACCACTGCATCAACAGAAAAATGTAAGCAACATTAATAAAATAAAACCAGGAAGATGTGAGTATGCATTTGAAATACAAACAAAAATGCATCATAAAACATGTAACATGGGACAATTAAACGGTGACAACCGCTTTTACAATTTATGGTGGATGTACTGTACATCAGGTGTAGAGCTGCCATGTGACTGCACAATCACAGGCCTAATGTTTAAAAGATGTACATTAATCATGTAACATGCAGGGAAAACTGTATACAATATTGAGGGCAATATGCAGGAGCAGAAAAAAAAGTGTCATTTCGAACTTCCCCCCAGGCCTAGATTTCATCTTTAGGCTTCCCTTAACATGGATAAATAATGCAGAGAGACATTTTTGCTTTACATATATTGCGAGGTGGATACTTTGATCCCTGGCTGCTGGCAGCGCGGGGACACGCCACACGTCTGGAACACGCGGCATCCCAGAGGAAATCTGAACAATGACCCCTGACCGCGTTACGGTCGTACACTGTGGAATTTAAAACAGGGCGGCGATGCATTTTGCAGAAGCTCCTGTCAGGTGGACTCGCGGTGCGTCTACAGCTGTAGGTCATTTCTCGGGTACCTTACTCAGTCTGTAAAAAAGAGAGACGGATCGGGTCTTCTTTTCCAGTTTCCTAAAGTTTGCAAACATGCAGACAAACCACGTGACCCCAGCGAGCACGGATTTGGTACTTTGCAGGTCAAAATTTGTCTAGACAGCTTGGTTTTAAACAATAACTACGCGTTAACCTTTTCTGGAGCTTTCCACTTAATCACACATTAGCAGGAGTTTGCTCAGCTGTCATACAAGCCCAGTACGATTTTATCCCTAAAGGAAGGAAATGTCTGATCGCATAGCACATTTCTGTCTGTGAAGATCTAAATGTGAAGACTTTTTTTAGACACAAAGAGTCATCATGTTGTTCTTTTTAGTTTTCAGTTGCACGACTACACATTAATTGATTCAAATGCCTTCGTGCTGGTAGCCGCCTGATGCCTTTGAACAAACAGGTACACTCACAGCAGAGCACGTTCAAGCTGAGAGTCTTTTAACAAAGTAGGTCATTTTTAGTTAAATAGGGAGCGTGTTTCCTTTGGGAAGAGTTCCTAACAGGCTTCTAGTGAAATATGAATACATACTGTATGTCATATCATGTATTCACATTCATTGTATATACATGTCTTTGTATATGTTTAGTGGCACCTAGTTTGCATTGAATTATAGTCATTTAAATGTTGGTAAACACGGGGCTGTAATCAGAACTTTAGAAACAGGAATTCAATTCATTTGAGCATTCAGCCCAAAACACCCCGTTACCCTTCTGGTTCTATTTTTTTAACTTCACACATTATCTTTTCAACTAACAGTTCAGTTATACTTTCAGTACATTTTCTATTTTTTCAAAAACATCGAAATCCTATTGCAAATTGTTTCCCCGGCTGTTTTTTTGGGGGGGGGATAAAATTCAGAAAATTAAGCCTATAGGTAGACAAACATACTGTGTCTGAAAATACTGCGATTGGGTCATAAAATCCTCACTACACTGCATCTATGGCAGCTACATCGCTGCCAAGACATCCAAAAGCCTGTCAGTTTCAACCTACATGTCTTTTGACCTGTAAATCACCAAATCCTAAAGCCCGAAATAGAGTCCCGACGTGTAATCGTAAACAGGCCTCTGCAGTGGGAGTGAGATTGTGAAGCTCAGCTGCAGTATTTTACAGTGTATTACAGGCTTGTGCATCAAGTTAGAAGCCTTTGAATCCTTCCAGTCCTCCGGGGGGAGAGTGGGGGGAGAGTGGGTGGGGCGAGTCAACCTCCCAAAGACCTACACACCTCGGCCCCTCACTGATTATTCTTCACTGTCCTGGAACAGATGCGTTGAGACGTAATGACCAGAACCGGGAGACATGCACACTCCGTTGAAAGACAAATGGCGAGATGTGTTCACACTGTGATAGTGTACACAAAGAGGCACAAAGCTGCATGAGAGGATGAGCGAAAAAAGAGACAGAGAGAGCATCTTCTTCTCTGCAATGAACTGCAGAGTGGATTGCAGGCACAAAATGATAATAGAATATAATTAACTTCACATGGTTTCACTGCACACATAAATCTTTCCCTTTGCGGGGTCACAAATGATTTAAGTCCTTCTGTACGTGAGTCTGTGATTGTGCTGTGATGCCAACATTATCAATGGCAAACGTTTCTCTGCAAAGATAATGGAAATAAAGGCCACACATTTATCCTAAATTCCAATTCACAGCATTATTTTAGGCCAGAAAAGCTGTTTGAGCATAAAAAAAGCTGATTTACATCCACAAATCTACTGTGTTCCTGTTGAATTTGACTGAAAGCTGTTTTGTGAAACGTTTTTTCAGAGTACACAGAACGGAATAACCCATCAGTCAGAGTTGAAGGCCTAGATAAGATACTTGTTATACGTTAAATACAGCCTGACAGACAACGACGGACACGCAGATAAAACAGAGTAGGCGACTTGTCAGGCGTCCGTGTTCAACGTGTCTGCAGCAGCTGAGCTCTTCTTCAGCTGCACGCCGGCCCATCGCCTGCAGACATGTGAGCCACTGGGGTCAGTGAGAGTTGACAGATGGTTGTAACTTCTTCCTGTTGTTGTTTTCTCTATTTTTTCTTTAATGTTCGCCTCGGAGCCGTCCTTCGCTGAACTCACAGAGCAGCGAATGGATCGATGAGTCAGTGAAGAGCAGAGAGCCAGCTGTGCGGTCTCTTGCTCTCACATTCACCAGAAAAACACTTTCAAGAAACGGTAGATATGGTTGTTTTTTTTTGTTGTCTAACCTTTTTAAAATCGACATGAAGAGGAATTTGTGCCCAAATGGATATTCGTGCACATCAGGGGAACCCGCTTTCCAGCTGGTCCCCAGACGACGCCGACGATGCTGATAATGATGCCGGCGGAGCATTATTTCCACGTCAGTTCAGCCAGGGTCACGACAGCTGCCACGGCGGGTTGAAGAACTTGATGGCGTGAGCTTTGGCCCACTTGGCGAACACGGACTTCTCGGTGATGAAGCGGTGCCCGCCGTAGGGGGCGCTCTCATGGAGCAGGTACTCCGCACACTCGTCACGGCTGCCCGCCTCGTAGTAGTGATAGGGGACCTTTCGGTAACCCTCCGCTCTACACGGTTAGGGGAAGAAAGAAGGAAAAGAAAATGAAAAATCTGATCGCCCATCATATCCTTCCGTCTCCTAGAGACTCTCTTTCATCGGAGACCGATCGGACTTAGAATACATCAGGTGCTGCATCACACATGAAAGGCACGCGTTCAGTGAATAATTATTCAAACTGTCATCGAGTATCCAAACTGGTAATTAGATGCGTCAGGATCTATCCGATCCAGCCTAGAGAGTGAACAATCAAATTTAATGGAGCGGGTTGGGCTGCAGTTATGTCATCATGTCATTGACAATTCAAACGTTGGTGTTGCAAATTCCTGCTGTCTAAATCAATTATTTCACAGAGGATGAAAACTAAATTGGTTCCTCAAGGTTTTATCTTATTATGGCAACAGATACTTTTTTTAGATACCCTGACAATAGTCTTCCCTATCCTGAGCCAAATTATACTTGATGTTGTACAGTAGGGGAGTTAAGTCATTCGTAATGGAATTCCATTTGGAGTTGATCTATTTACACTGCATCTCCAAACCATTAAAAAGCATGAGGAATCAATAAAAACAGGAGCAGGAGCAGTAGAATAGATTCACTGAGCAGTCTGCCGTTGGTATTTAATAGCAAGTGGCGTCTTTATGAGAAAACGAATTGTGTAACCGTTTCAGCGGGTCCACAGTCTGCAAGCCGGCCGTAACACAAAACCCGTGTGATGCGCACCGGCGTTAACAAATAAGTTCAACTTCACCCTTTCGGCACCACCCATCGGCCCGAGGTCACTTCCGAACCAGAGCTTTACAACATCCTCACACAGAACTTGTGTGACGCCAAATTGTTCTTTCAGAAACACAATATCTTCCTGTGTCGCACAGGAAAAGCGAGGAGCTAAGTGGGCGACAGGCAGGATGGGACCCGTCAGCCGCCTCACTGAATCGTAACACCCCTCTGCACCGGTTGAATAATCACACAGCCGCGAGTCGAGGGCTGTTTATGTTTCAACACCCGCTGTGCACGGGGGAAACCAGAGAGGCTAAAAGACGGGTTTTCCCCGGTGTATTAGGTAAAAGTGTTTGACTCGGGGGGAGGATAGAAAGAGCTCAGGTGAGTCGGGAGAGTGGAGGGAACACGCGGCGAGACGCACGTCAAGTCAAACAAGGCCGGGGCTGCTGGAGAGGCCGCGCAGCCATGCCTGGAGCGACAGCATCTTGTTTGTCATCCCTCCTACGGCCTCACAAGCCCGAATGCAATCGCTCGCCGGCAGTCCGGGAAGAATGACGGGCCGGTGTATACAAATAAAACTTTGAGGCAGGGAAGGAATTGGGTGCAGTAGTTCAGTCACCCGCGGCAGTTCAGTTACCCTGCTGGGTATTCTAGGCAGGAAAACATAATGGTATTCACGGCACAGAGAACCCAATATGGATTTCAGTATAGAAATTCAGCCATTAAACCCATACTGAGGTTTTGGAAATGTATTAGGGCAGTTTGTGATTATGGGAGGCTGCGATTGGCCCGGCGCTGCAGTGAATTTGAATCCCGCTGCAAAGTTTTTGTATAGGAGCATGTGCACGGAGGGGGATGGTTGGTGTCTTACTTGCAGTAGGTGTCATTTATCATGCCGTAGATATGGATCTCTTTGCACATGTCCATGGCGAGGATAAGCGTAAACCAGCCGGTGCTGAGGTAGGAGCCCGACTGGATCCTGCAAAAACACAAAGTCAGCCTTTTACTCAAATATTCATTTTAATACAAAAATAACTTTTAAATAATTTGCATGAAAATGGGAGCCTCTCTGGAGTTTACCGGACTCCATTCATCTGACCTTTGTACTCACGGCTCTTGTGTGCTTGTAATTCAGCTTATCTTAGAATTCAAATTATTCAAACAGCTGTTTGTGTTGTAAGTTTCCCTGTATAACAGCCTGAGTTATGGATCAAAAATGATCATTTACATGTAAATGCATCCCCAGCACAGCCCTCAGGTGTGTAATAAAATGCCTGTTATACTGAACGTTCTATAGTAATGTTGAATACCTATAGTTAAAGAGCTTATACGATTCCCACACTATAAATGAGTAAACAGGTTCAAGGGGTGAGAGAAGAAGCAAACTTCATCTGTTTGTTGAACAGCTCATCACACGCTGTCCCCTTTTGAATGATGCAGGAACCCTGGAGGCCAATCGATAAAAACATGCATTATCTTTTCATCAGCTTCAAAACGTGCGTTGTTAAGACCTCTCAAGCTTTTGCTCATTTTCAAACAACGCGAGAGAAGTGGGCCATAACGGCTCGCAATCCCAACTATGTCAGGAAAATACTTCTCACGCATTTAGTCCATTAATATCTACCTGGAGAATAAGTATCAGTAATAATACTTAGAAATTCATGAATTATTACAAATGCATGCTGTCTAGTCAGTTACCTGCACTTGATTCTTCAAGTACCTTGATAGCTCCTGGACAGCTTTAAACACAAACTCCAGCTGTGTGCCAACATGTTCAATGCCGTAATAAAAAGGGATTAGTTCCCTCTCCTTGCATGTGTCTACCATCTGTGATGAGTTAAACTATATCTCACTACACTATCCTTAAAATAATTTACACAACAGCCAAAAAACGTAACTACTGTAATATGTGTATTTAAGTGAACAATATACTTTCAGTTCAGGCGGCCCAACAAACTTCATCACACACCCAGGTAACGGGGCTATAAGAGGGTCAGAATTAGTTTTAAAAAAAGAAATGAGTTGTAATAAGGGAGTGAAGGAGCACAGAAGGGAAATGGCGCATTATCAGCGATACACAGCTCGGCAGTTCTCAGGCGTCAGAGGTGTAAACACAATACTATTACCCTGCATTATTCATTAGCCATTTGCCACTCCGGCAGCAGAAACACAGAAATGCGGCCACATACTTGCTGACACACACACACACACACACACACACACCTATTCCCGTGACGTGTGCCGAATGTCCCAGGGAAACAAAAGCTTGGTGGAATAAGTAAAGACGAGGGATGCGCTGACCTGGTAATTACAATTTCAAAGCCGTATGTGTGGAAGTGGAGACGCAGCGAGGCAGACTGATAGACTTCAAGGTCTTCAGCAGACATTGTGTAAAACCTACGACAGCCATAATGGCACAACTTCGCAGAGAGACACCGGCGTTATTGTGTGGCCAATTTAAAACCAGAGATAAGCCGCGGTGTAAAGCTGCTCTGGCAGGCGAAAAATTACATCCAGAGCCGCAGGACGGAGAGGATGCAATTTGCCTGTTGCGTTGAAGCAGAGACACCCGGCCTTTACTCAAAAACGGCAAACAAAAAGCATCATGAGGTCAAGCTTGACCAAAAAATCACCCCCCACTGCTACGGCTCTGCTGAAAAATCCAACAATCGTGAATTGTATTTGGGCACGAACAGAGCAAAATGTGAACAAACATGAGGAAGCTACGTGAACAGCTATTTCAAATCAATCTTTTATCTCTCGCTGACCAACACAAGCCGCAGTCAAGTGAGGCGGGAGCGATGGGGACTGACGCGCCAGCACTGGGAAACTGGGAGGCTGTTTTGAGGAATTAGGTCGGACACTCTGAGTAGGGTGTAGAGTCAATAATACCCGGAGCCGCCGGGGATCAGCGGGCGCCATGCTCCACCTCCGACTCGGTTCAATCACTCGCACTCGACATTCACAGCGGGAAAGCTGTCCGCGCACGAGGAAAAATCCCAAGCGACGACCGGTTTAGTCAAAGTATGTGCTTTATATGTGCCCGTGCTGCTGCACAAATGTGATACGGCACCTGTCAAAAGTACTTAATATAACTCACACAGACACCTGATGGGTTCTTCAAGACAGACGATATCGAACCAAGACCTTTGAGTCATAGGAGTTGTGTGAGTGAGTTTCCACATTGTGAATTAGTAGAGCCTTCTAATTCTAACAGTTTTGATTCTATATTGAAAGATTGTGAAATACGCCCATTTAGATGAAAAGATCGACGCCACTCTCATGTAATAAATTATGATGAAGCTAGTTAGGTAAGCTTAGATACTAAGATGTGGGGCGGTATGTTTGAAGGAGCCACAAGGTGACTTACTAAGGGCAGCCAAATCTGAATGGCTTGGTTGTGCGAATTTGCAGTTCTTGGGGCGGCTCCAGGTACCCAAATGTACACGCACGAGCCCCGAACATATCTTTTCATCCACGTTATGTTCCCCTTTCACCAAGAATTCACCTGAGATGCAATCTTCTTTTTTCCAGTGGCAACCTGCCTAAATGTCAGTGTACGACAGCGGTTCATCATCTAGTTCATCACGTGATCACACTCCACGTCGAGTCAATCCGACGAGATGTTCAATGAAATAGTTCAATGTTTTTCACTATTCTTTTTTCAAAATCTGATTACAAAGTATCTCCGATCAGCGCCGCGTCTTACCAGTTGAGTTTGTGCTGTGAGACCTGGACCCTCCCTCCCACCCATCCTTCAGACATCAAGTGGCTTCAGACTCCAGAGAGCCTTTCATCAGCCAAGACCTGCTCTTCTTCCTCTCCTCGAGGAGGAAGGTGGGCATTTTACGAACCATACGTCTCTCTCTCATAATCATGTTTTCTCCCTCATATCCGTCTTCAAACAAATAGCCACTCGTGCCTATCTTCAGTCCTATTTTGACTAGGTTTCCCAAAATGCACCATCTAGCCGTAGCAGGTAAACACAATGGTATTCCAAAGAAGGGCCCACTTGTAAAAATGATCCACTCTCCGGGTACAAGAACAGCGGACTTGCCTCCGTTTCTGCATGAAAACATGTTATTTTCTTCTCCCGGCAGGAAAACGCCTGATGCGAATGACTGTGCGTTATTAAGTGATTACTTCATACAACAACAGGCTGCGAGACGAGTCGCCGTGTTTCCCATTGGCCAATTGTGTGTAGACGAACAACACACTGTGTTTTCCTGTGTCTCTGAAGCAGCCGAGGAGCCTCTGGGATGACACAGGGACAACATCCACAGCCGAGCCACGGGGTGAAAACGGGGCTTTTTGTCTCGGGAAATGTTACACAAACCGGGGAGCACAGCAATTTATTTTAATGACGAGAAAGAGCATTGCAGCTGCGGAGGCTTGTCGAGGCGATTCCTGATTCTGCCGGAAGGCGATGCGAAGCCCCCGGCGGTGACCTCCACAACCTGCATTACAAAAAGGACTGTTTGCTCTCTCCAAGTCCACCTTTGTTTGCATTTGTACCAGTACGCGGGGCTAATAATAACCAGGAAGGGGACCTTAATCCTGAGGGAAAGGACACAGGCTTGATGCAGATGAAGGGGGTCAGAAAGAAGCTGGCTTTAAGATGGTCTAGTCTCTCCAACGACTACACTAAACATATTACCACCACAGTAAAATAGAAGATTGTCCTGGTTCATCAAAGATTCCAGACCCCCCCCACCCCGGTCCTTCACGTGCACGTATGTCCTCTGGCAGGAGGTACAGAATTGGGAAATTTGGGACTTCTAGGCTGAGGAAGAGGTTTAATCCTCAGGCCCTTGACTCGCCTTAAAGACATTCACCCACCATCTGTACAACATTTTGCACACAACAAATGATCTTTTATTCCATACATTTGACAAAGTATGCACGTGGCAATAAACACTTTGACTTGACCTTGGCTCAACATCAAGATTAAATCAAGTAAAAGTTGGAAAAGTGAAGATAATGAAATGGAAATAGAAAAATACACTATACATGTTGGACTCGGGCTGCACAGTAAGGCAAAGAAGATTAACATTTTCTGGCAGGGTCATGAATCCCTGGATACGTTTTTAAAAACGTCAATATCATCGGGCTGTACTGGTTGTGCATTCAGCACAGAACATGGTATTTATGCTTACAAGGTCTCTCCTGTGTTTTGTTGAAGTTTAGTTTTGTGTTTACATTAGTTTTCTCCTCTTATTGAGTCGAGCACTTGTGTTTTCACTTTGTTTTAAACATATGAATATAGCAGCTTTTGGCTTTTGCTGTTAGTGTGGTGAATCTGGCGCCCAGTTTAGCCTCTGGTGAAATAACCTTTACTCAGCATCTGTTTCCGAGATCGATACTGGTAGAAATGTTCTCTTCTCATTAGGAGAAAACATTTAAGAGAAGATTCATTTGATTTGACTTTGGTTTTACTTTTTCCATTCGCAATTGGTCCCCCTTATTTTACTTACTAAATATTACAGTAATACTGCAATCATGTTAGGTACAAATCCTGAGAAACGGAAGCTGGTTTTAAGGGACGTTATTTGTACTGAGGCCTTAAACAACCGAACAGCAGATCACATCATACTTTCTTACCCTGCTGCCATGGTTATGTAGCACCAAAGCAAGTACAAGATACTAATATAAAAGACATTTCTATTAATCTTAAACTAAAGTACTCAGTCCCTCAACAACACAAAATAAATAACGGGTGAAATCAATGTACCAATGAAGTGTGACTCCCTAAACTAATCAGAATCAGATGAAACCGAGAGAAGCCAATCAAGAAGAAAACTAAGCGCCCGCTGTTAACAGTTTTACTGTTAAACAATTGATTGCCTGATATTATATACAAAGTTCTCCTCACGTTGTTTGTTTTTTTACTTTGGGATTTTATAATCAAATACAGTCGTAAGTGTTTCCTCTGGAACACCAACAGTCCATTTTTTTAGTGTGTTTATCTTTTACTCAATA